ACAATAATACTAATGATAATGACAATAATAATAATAATAATAATAGTAATAATAATAATAATAGTAATAATAATAATAATAATAATAATAATAATAAAAATAATAATAATGATAATGGCAATGATAATGATAAAAATAATGATAATGATAACAATGATAATGATAATGATATTAATAATGATAATGATTATAGTGATAGTAGTAATGTAGATGATTATAATTATTGTAATGATAATAAGGATAATAATGTTAGTGATAATGATAATGATAATAATAATAATAATGATAATAAAAATAATGATAATGATAATGGCAATGATAATGATAATAATAATAATAATGATAACAATGATGATGATAATGATAAATTTAACAGTGATAATATAAATAACAACAATAACAAAAAACAATGATAATAATAATAATAATAATGATGATGATGATGATAATAATGATAACAATAATAATAATGATAATAATAATAATAACAACAATAATAAAAAAACAATACAACAATAATAACAACAAGAATGAAATAATGATGATGATGATAATAACAATAATAATAATAATAATAATAATAATAATGATAATATTTGATAATATTATTATGATAATGATGATAATAACAATAATAATAATGAGAATAACAGTAACAATAATGATAGTAACAAGGATGAGAATAACAGTAACAATAATGAGAATAATAACCACATTTATAGTAATATACGCTTGATAATGAATAATGACATTAATAGTTATAAAGAATAATAGTTCTATTGCTAATGCTAGTAATAATGGTGATAATAATAATAATAATAATAATGATAATGTTAATAATAATAATAATACCAGGCAGCATCAGCACAAAAGGCTGGGGCGCTCGCCACACCCTGGCTTTACTCGGCAGCCTCGGCATCACCGTCATGTACACCATCCGCATCTCCCTTTCGGTTGCTATCGTCGCCATGGTAACGACGACGCCATTAAACTCCTCCAACGCCACCAACGGAAGCGCCGACGTTTGCCCGCCGCCCGACGATTATGATCCTCAGGAGACATATCAGGTGGGCTCTTGAGGACTGGAGAAAGAAAGGGAGAGGGAGGGGGGAAGGGGGGGAGGGAGAAGGAGAGGGAATGGGGGAGGGAGAGGGAGAGGGGGATGGGAACAGAGGTACTGGTAGAGAGAGGAGAGGAGAGTGGGAAGACTGAGGGGTGCGTAATGGCAAGAGGAAAGGGGAAAGGAAAATGAAAGGGAAAATGAAGGGGAAGTGGAAGGAAAAAAAGAATAAGACAAGGGTAAGAGAGAGAGAGACAGAGAGAGAGAGAGAGAGAGAGAGAGAGAGAGAGAGAGAGAGTTAGAGAGAGAGAGAGAGAGAGAGAGAGAGAGAGAGAGAGAGACTTTTACTCACCTCTGTCGTCCCTGTCTCCCTAAACATCGCGTCCCCGCCCCTCCTTCCCAGAATGGTGAGTTCGACTGGGACCCGAAAGTCCAGGGCGCGATCCTCGGCTCCTTCTACTACGGCTACGCCCTCTCGCACATGCCGGTCGGGAGAGCAGCCGAATACATGGGCGGGAAGCTCTTGTTCGGCCTGGGGCTTCTGCTGGCCTCCATATTTAACCTCCTGACGCCGATTTGCGCTGAAATCTCCACCGGGATGTTCATCGCCCTCAGGGTCGCTGAAGGTCTCGTCCTGGTGGGTCTCAACACTCGATAATTCTTTTCAATTGTATATTTTGTGTCTGTCCATGGATATTTTGTGCAGAATCTTTCACTCGTACAGTTATTATTGCTGCGAATTTGATATCTGCACGGAGACGCTAAAGAATACCATGAAAGAATTTATGACGAATAGTATCTTCCAGGGAGGATGTTTCCCTGCCATGAACACCCTACTGGCCACCTGGTTTCCTCCGGCAGAGAGAAGTAAATATACGACACTAGTCATGACAGGTAAGAAATAAATAAGGTTTTTCAAATGTTCACACAGACACGAGCGATCACTGGAAATTAAGGCAGGTAACGATAGATGGTCTGATTAGTTGCTTTTCAATATTACATGAAAAATGTTTAAGAAAGAAAAGTAAGCCTAATCACACTTCGCAATGTATGATAATGTGAAAGGAGAAAATAAAACAAACATGATTTTGCATTCCAATATATTTCAAGTCAGTTTACAGCACAAGCGATTCTTCCAGGCCAGAACGTAGGAACGGTGATAGCCATGCCCATGACCGGCTGGCTGTCGAGCTCGGAGGAGCTGGGCGGATGGCGCACTGCCTTCTACGTTTTCGGCACCTCCGGTCTCGTGTGGAGCGTCGCCTGGTTCCTGCTGGTGCACGACAGGCCCGAACATCATCCGAGAATCTCTGATGCAGAGCTGCAGTACCTTCTCTCCTACAAAGAAGTCATGAAAGATGCCAAGGTCTGTACGATGCTGCAGCAGTGGTTCATAACTCGAAATTCATTCTAGGTTTCCGCACAACTTCTTGCAGGCTC